TTAGGAAACAAAACTTCCAGAACACGGCCACACAGCCCGGAAGACCCACACCAGCCACCAAAAGCAGAAAATGTTCAAGAATAAATGAATGATGAATGTGGACTGAACATAAAAGTGTGTGACCAGTATGAAAGAAGTACCAAAATTAGCATGAACAAGAACTGAATTAAAAAACAAATATACGAAAGAAGAATGAACAGGTTGAACATGAAGAGAAGACCAAGAAAGGCGTGGTTAGGAGTAGATGAAATCCTCAGGAAGCTTAAGGAACAAAAGGCAATGTATGGAGCTATATATAGAGGAAGAGGAAACAAAGATGGTTTTCAAGGAAAGAAAGATATGGAGAAGTATTGTGAACAGCACCGATATAAACTAGATTTGATCATTTTGGGGGGGGGGGTAAACCCTTGCCTTTATTTATTTATTTGCATGCCACTTCTCACTTCTTTCTGCTCTTTGCATTATTTTACTTACCTCAAAACAGAATGGTATGTTTGGATGAAAAATCTTGTTCTTAAACACTGGACTATTATCAAATTCACATATACATTCATGTATATTTCACAGGATGGGGGGAAATGGGAAAAAGCAACTAATGGGGAAATATTATCCCAAACTCCCTTTGGGCTCAAAAAATAAAGTAACATTAAATTTAAAAAATACAAAGCTGAATCCAACTACTGCATTTAAAATAAAGAATCACAGACAAGACCAAATAGAAAATACATCCATTTATCTCAGATGCAGATACTTCAAGCTTTCCATGTACAATAAAGCTCCTTCAAAGAGTGAGACTGTAAACTCCACACAGCCTGGTGAAATGTACTCTCCAAGTCAGGCATGAGCCTGTTTCCCAGGAACAGACATGCCACGTCTTGGACAAAAGCTAGGTTCAGCTGTAAAGATGGTGGGATAATTTCTGCAAGAAAGTCATCAAAGAAATTGAACTATACATATTCCTCAGTATGAGTTTTGGTACTTTTCTCGCATGCTGACAGGCAGAAAAAAGAGAAGAAAAAATAAAGAAAATTCCATGGCAACAGTGCAGACATTTCTTCCATTTGTCCATGGGGAATGTCTCTGAAGATTATTTTAGCCCCATCCACTGTCTAATAGTCTTAAGCAACTGTAGCTATTAATTCATCCCCAGGCCTGAGATTTACAATAATGCAATACAAGTTTGCCATCACTTCCAAAACACTGTAAGAAAACAAGAAGAAAAGAAGTTTAACAAGCAGTGAAGCAACAAATGTTAATATCTAATTACAATTTATATTAGCAAATTTTATTGTAGTCAGGTCAGTTAGTTATATAGAGTTGGGATTTCCTTATGAAATGCTGCCATCTGTTGACAATATGTTTTCAAAAGGTTTTGATTACTGTTATTTGTTCCAGTGAGATACATCTTAAAAACATGTGAGGGACCTCTGAGATTCTTAAAGACAGACTATGGTACTTCCAATTAAAGAAAAATCAATTTGTAGAAACGTTTACCAAATTTCATGAGCATTCAGTGCCTTCACATGAGGTCTTGCAAGAGTTCAGGATTAAGACTGTTGGACTATCCTGAGATTTGGTACTTACAAGAATCCAGCTCTTTGTAATGCTTATGAAAGTACCCACCCCCAAAATGCTAATCTCTCGAGTACCAAGTGACCTTTTAATTCCTACCATAAGAAGCAGAAATAATTTTGTAAATCAGTAGTCACCTCATATAGTGTTCCAACTTCCTGATCTGGTGAAGGAGCAAAGGACTGATTCACATAAATAAACTGCATGAGAAAGAAATAACACATTGGTAACTTTTTGTCAATTCTAAACAGAAGAATGCTGTTCAAGAATATTATAGCCATTATGTCCTTTAATATTTAACATATTTTCTATCTGTGGACTCCTTCATGCTCTCTGAGCTTGGTTGTTTGTTTGCAGCCATTTCATTACCCAACTAGGTTACATCATCAGTGCTCCTATTTTCTACCTTCAAAACGTCGTATACCAGTCCAAGTCTTTTATATTTATTCAGAAACAGGAATTCAACATAGATGCACTGGTGATAATTCATCTGTTCTTCAAAATAATTTTGTATTGTGACCAACAGGTTGAAGGGAAGAACAACCTCCTCCAAATATAAGGTAGAGGTTATACTGCTACTGAGCATCCTTCTCCACCCAAAAGAAGTGTTGCAATTATTGAAATGAGAAAAACAGCCTACTGCTGATCCAAGAAATTGGGCTGCTAGAGGCCTGATTCTCTGCACTTCCTGCTTCAGCTGATAGTCAGTAGTGTGATTAAATAATAGGACTGAAAAGAAT